GACTCGCGGCAGTATTTTGAATTTGAGTGCAGTAACCGTTTTGGCCACATTCTTACATACAGTGCCTTTAAGTTATCAGAGAAATAAGATACACACACATTAGCAGGTCGTGGGCTAGTGGGCTTATGTGTTTTTACTGGTTTAAATCACCTGGTCTGTTTGTTTTGGAGAAGAAGAGACTGCAGATAATTTGGCTCCTGGTAAAAACCTTCTGAACAATGAACACTGAAGGAACTCCAACCAAGAGAATTTTCAGCTGGTTGCAGTCTTCACTCCTCACCACTAGATGCCACTAAATCCCCCAAAATCTCACATACTGTTCCTTTAATAGTTGCCATCTGGTTTTACTGCTTCAATTAAAGGTACCCTGGGAAGTATCTGACTGCTACTTATCGAGTGATATGTTTGAGTCTCTATTTGGTCTGTACTGTATGTTGTGCACGCCAATGACACAGTACACACTCTTGCTAATAGTTTCACACTTTTCCACTGATCTACAGGTGGCGTTATGTGTCAAGAAAAGAAGCAGTGCACCAACAGATTGCACAGAAGAGGAATGCAGACTAGCACAAACATGGATGTAAGTAATGCTGGATTTAAAATGTTCAAAACAATTCTGCTTTGCAAGTATGTTCAGACAACTCTCTTATAATCTGATGATGAACAAAACCTGGACTTTGATGATAAAACCTTGAAATATGTGGTTATCCTTTGCCTTTTATCTAGTCATCATCTTGTCAAATTAAAATGTTTTTTAAACTATTCCAGATTCAGATGGCAAACATGGATGTAAGCAGAGGTGGTTTAAAAATGTCCAAACAATCTACTTTGTTTTATGAGGAAGGAAATGCATTTAAAATGACCTTCAATCCAAGAGATATCTCTAACAAGCTCTACTATTTATACTACAGTGTCTCTCAACATTCGTACCTTGTTTCAGCGTCTTTATGGCCACCTTCTTGTTCTCTGTGGTCCACAGAGCCTCCCACACCTCTCCAAAGTGTCCCTCTCCCAGTTTCTTGTGGAGCCTGAACTCTTCTCGAGGCCTCTCCCACGGCTCCATGTCGTACAGCTCCCGCTGCAGAGACGACAGACGACGTGAGTCCAGACAACTTTACGTCAAAACTTTATAAAACAAGTGGTTAGAAAATACTGCAGAGAATGTGCAACTGTATTTACACATTCTCCAGCACTGAGGAATCGTGCATTGGATTGTGTATCGTTTGATTCATCAGTTTTAAAATAACTCCCCTACGTTGCACAACTCGAGGTGCTGAGACAGAACCGTGCTGGAGTGTGTGGGAATGTGAGAACTGCTTAGTCGCAGGGTTCACATGACATGTATGATTTGTAACATGGAAGAGTTGTGCTCCTGCTGGGCGACGCAGGAAAACAGTGTTTGTTGAGATGTTGTAATAGACCAAAGGAGGTGTAGAATATGATTTTGATTACAACAAAGTCGTCTTTGATGTTGGACTCATTAAATTTCACATTCTGAGTACTTTTCCTTAAAACTTTTCTGACAGTGTAAATATTTTTCCTTTTGTTCACAGATCTCATGAAGTGGAGATGACAGGAAACACGACCAAATGGGACCACGTAAAGATAAACGACAGCAGCCTCCTGATGCAAAAAGATTCTTATGTGAGTCAAAAATTTCCTCTTTAGAAGACTTTTTTTAGTACGACAATGGGAAAAAAAAAACTGGAACATGACATTAAAATTTTAAATTATTTGGTTATAGTTTGTCTTCGCCTTTATTTATTTCTCACCTTGTTAAATTAAAATATTTTTACTATCCCAGATTCTTACTGTTCACTTTTTTGTTAGGTTTGATGCAGACAGATTTCTCTTTTGATGATTTATCGACAGATCAGCAGCTTGTTAGGTAAGTAGAAGGCGAGTGAATGAATGAATGAACAACAAGTAGACTTAATAAATGAAACATAAATTCAAAACTTTATTCATTGTCATTAACAATCAATCAGGTGCCACAAAATGTTCTGATGATCAAGTGCTTTGATAAATATGAAATGAAATGAAATGAAATGAACAGATCAATGAAATGACTGGCTCAGAAAAAAAAAACCATGATTAATAAGTTAAATAATCAGTCATCATTCACATATAAATAAGAAATCAAAATGATTTTATATTAAAAATAAATAATAAAAATAATAAAGTGTTAATGAGGTGATACACAAAGCAACTTGTTGGTCAACCTGTTTGAGTTGCCTCAGCATTGTTGCTTAAATGTATACAGTCTTTTTTAATTTGCTTTGACACATTCAGATAAATGACTGACGCCAGGTTTAGCTTTTCTTTGCTGCTGGAACAAAGAACATCACAACAGTTGCCTCATGTATAAAGACAAAACAAAAAAAGTGCCCAAAACAAACAGAAATAAAAGAAGACAATAAACAGTTTCAGTCTGTTGCATCTCAGTCGACTTAAATACCATGAAAATTCTTCTTCCAATTTCTATTTCTATCACGTTTCCCCATCATCATAATTACTTACAGCAACAAAAAGGTCATGCTGATAGTTTAGTCAATCCCACTTAATTAAAATGTTGTCTCCTTTCAATTCTAATTATGCGTGACATAATCTCTCTAATGGCTTTAAGTTTGACAAATTAAACCACTTGGGCTTTCACACAGTCTGTCGGGCAGTTTATTAGGCATTTAAACAGCAGGATGAATCTGCTTTTAGAAACTAAAATCTAACAGAAGGATCAGCCGTGTCGTCGTAATACAAAACATGCTTTATCAGGTTTTATTGACCGTGTCTCTTCGGATACGTCATTCCAGAAAACAAGATGTTGTGCCAAGTCAATAAAAAGTGATTGAAAGCGTCGTTAGTTACTCTTATTACTGGTAGAACATTTAACTGATGGAGCATTTCAATCTAAATGTGAGTGTTTTATTTTCTAAAAGCAGATTTATTCTTGCGTTTTAAAGCCTTAATGTTCAACCATTTGACTGTGTGTGAGCTCAGTGAATCTGCAGAGGGGCAGCTGAGCTGTATATTAACAAATAGAGCAAACATTTAAAGGTCCAGTGTGTCAGATTAAGGGGGACACATTGGCAGAAAAGTCTGTTAGACTAGTATAATCCCCTGAAAATAAGAATCGTTATGTTGTCGTTACCTTACGGCTAATTTCTTCTCTCTTTACACACGAAAATAAATACGTCCGTTTCAAACATTGTTAATGTCACTGCCCTTCCATGCGCCCTTCATGCTTGCAGAGAACAGGTGGCACTAGAGGGTCGAGTCAAAAGTTTTACACAACAACAAATGAGGTGACGGTGGAGGAGGTCGTAATAATGTACCTTTAAACTGAGACAGCGTTGTAGACAGTGGTGGTCTGTGCAGCCATATAACGTTACATTCTAACATGTGGATAGATAATTCTTTTCACTATATCACGGATATGTTCTATGCCACCATTATTTAAATTTCTTTGTCTTTTCCTATGGTCGTATGTTGCATAAACTTGGCTACACTGCCTCTACGATCTCTGCTGGTACTGCTCCATTGCATCTGTATCCCCAGGCTTTCAGGAAATGTGCACAAATAAGGACAAAGCTAACAGAGTACAGAGAGAAGGCTCTGTATGTCTGCAAATCTAACACTGAGCATAAATGAGCCTTTAAAATGAGCTGTTTATATCTACATAGGAAGCAGGTCCTCATCTACGGAAGTCACCATGTTGCACCACCATGTAAAATGAAAAAACACTTTGTTTTTTTAACACGAAACTGCTTTATTTTGTGTTTTTACTGGTTCAAATCATGGATTTCGTTTGTTTTAGTGAGGATAATACCTCTGTAGATAATTCGGCTCCTGGTGAAAACCTCCTGAACATTTGGATCTTGAGTTATCAGATAAAAATGATGAGCAGGCACTAGCAGTTCCTAAGCTAGCGGCCATGTCAAACAGCATTGGAGAAACACTGATTTGTAACATGAACCTGCTTTATTCAGTGTTTTTACCGCTTTAATTACCTGGTTTGTTTGTTTTGGAAAGAAAGAGACCTGTGCAGGTTATATAGCTCACGGTAAAAACCTTTCAATCAATGAACACTGAAGGAATTCTAATCAGGAGAAGTTTCAGCTGGTTGCAATCTGCAGTCCTCACCACTAGATGCCACTAATTCCCCCTGAATCTCACACACTGGACCTTTAAATACGTTTCATTAATCTTAATATGTATTAATTATATATATATATATATATATATATATATATTAATTCTTTATATGTCAGAGCTATTGAATCATGAATATAATGTTCAGGATTTAAATAGCAAACAAAAACAGCTTGGCTACCATGAGATGTACAACTCGTCTTAACTGCTTTGTTCGTGCTCAAAAGCAGCTCCAAATCCCACAATGCAATTCCAGTTTACTGTTCATGGTTAGAAACCCAAATATGAATTGTTTAATTCAAACAATCATTAGTGAGCTGTGATGATGTTTAAGGATTTCAGGGTGCAACGACAGTCAGTTAGAAATGTAAAATAAAAATTAAAAAATCAGTCTTGAATCTCATCAGCTCAGAAAGCTGCAGCAGAGTCATGAAATGCAAATGACACGCACACAAATCAATACTTAATAACAGAGTGATTGTGTTTGATAGTGTTATTGAAATATATAAAAGGCTATAAAAATATCATAGTAAAAAAATCAACAAAATGAAAAGGAAAATAATTTGAAACAAAAAGTCAAAGTGTAAATTTTATATCTGTAAGCTCATATGAGATAACACATGCAGTTATGTTTCATGTGCTGTGTGTGTGTGTTTGTGCTCTGTTTGCGTGTTAAATATAAAAGCATATGTGCTGAATCTGTGTGTTGTGTTTGTGTGTGCTTCTGCCTCAGTGTGTCCGTGGCCTCGACTCACTGCCTCCACTGCAAGGGAAGAGAGAAGAGGGAGGAATCACTGAGTGGCCTCTGATCCAGAAGAAACACTGATTTTTAAACACTTTTTCATCCATGAGGAAAAAGCCGCAACATGATGCTCCATTTAAATATATGTAATGGTACGTAATATTCCTTTATCCTGAAACATACTCTCAAAAACTGAAGCGTAGGTGTGTCGGTGGTTTCTCAGTTTGCAGTGAAAAATCTCCTGATACTGAGAGACCTCGACGAGCTCAGTTGTGTCCCGCCGGGCTCAAACTGATGAGCCATGAATAAAGAATACAGCCTGCTGGGGGTTTAATGTAAGCTGCAGTGCAGAGATAGCATGTGTAATTACAGCACTACCACGTGACTTTATTCTAAAACTGTTCCAAATATTTTATTCTCTGGTTAATTACACTCCAAATATGTTTGCCTCTTGGTATTAATTTATTCACATAGAGCATAAGACAGTACTCATTAAATTTCTGCTGCAGAGCAACAACAGAAAGAAGATTTCAGGGTCTTTGTTGCACTTTGTTGTTAGATTCCTGCTGCAGAGACAAAAGCTACTCAAATTAAAAGACATTGTGGAACAATCTGGATTTGTGCCTGAAATCTGACTTCATCTATCAGGATCAGTGGGAAACGTTATTACTCATTACTGGCTGCTGGTTTTCATTGAGAAATACCACAGAAGCTCATCTCTGTTTGGTGACGTGCAGATCCTGTTTAGCTAAGCACCATTCTGTCAAAGTCAAGTTGAGTTCTTGGCAAAATGTCTCCAACTTTAAACAGAACGCTTAGGAAAAACTAGGAACTAGGAAAAACGTCACTAAAGGTCTAGTGTGTTGGATTTAGTTCCATCTAGTGGTGAAGTCGCAGCATCAGAATCGTATGGCCAATGTAAGAAAACAAATGGCCCTCATGAAACCATAATTATGAAGATTATATATTCTAGGGATGGGCAGCACAAGCAAAAACACTATTCAAACATCGTGGCAACTATTCGACAATTTTTCAAATACCTCCCCCCCCCCCCCCCAGAGCCATGCACACAAAGATCCATTCATTATTAAATGCCTGAACAGACTCGTACGGAACGCAAGCCCTGTGCGCGCAAAGCTCCGCGCACCAGTGACTGCCCGGCATGTATTTTTCACATCGCGGGGATTTTTCACGGACATGTTTACAGGAAACTACAACGCGGAAATGCGCTCGACTATGAAAGCCCGAATGACCGCGGACATTCCCCGCGGAGTAGTAGTCTCTGCATGTTTCTCCTGTTTGTAGAAGAGCATCAAAGTAGCTGGTAGCCCATCTCACACCGCTGTACCAATCCTATACTGCCCTCGTGCGGTTAGGAGCTGAATTACATGTCAAATAAAGGGGGGGGGGGGCGGCAAATAGTAACAGTCGCATTAAAAAATTGATTTTTCAAAAATAAAATGACTATTCGAAATTCGAAAATCGTGACCCATCCCTATTATATTCCATATTCTCCAATATACACCCCTAACGCCCACACCACACTGCCTGTGTGAGCAGCGCTTGTGCGTCATGGAACCTCGTTTTTTATTTCGGCAATAATGTTAACAGGTTAGAGCAGCCACACTGCTGGCGTGAACGGCCCAGCTCAGCTGTGGAACATCTAAAGAATACGAGTCTTACCTACTTTTGCCACATGACACATTTTCAGCAAAACAAGACAGTGACAATGGTCTTTTAATAATCATATTGACATAATACCAACTTTCACTGCTGTTTTGATATCTGTCACAGACATGAGCAATATAAATATTTGTTTTTAGCTTAAAACATCCTGTCTCTGTTTGAAAATAAATCCCCTCTGACAATGTTCCTATGGTCAGAATCCCTTCATTTGCTGACACAGAATTTGTATTAAGTATTTGCAGGACCGTTTTGCACTGCTCCATAAAGAAGTGGAGAATTATTTATGGAAATACAATGGTTATAACTGTGGGCAGGTCTGCAGCAATGCTGTCTGTGTGAACACCTCACACATGTAAACAGCAGCAGTTCAGCTGGGTAGATGTCGCACACTGCTCATGCAGGCACTGTGGCCCAGGCATAAGTTCTACGCACTGAACTTTTAAAAAACAAAATATCCAAATATCTTTGATTATCTGTGAAATCATTTAGTGATTGTGCTTTTCCTGTTTTCTGTTCTTAGATGTTTGAGGCAGGTGTGTCAAATTCAAATGCTGAAAACTCTTATGTTTCTTGGTTTTAGGTTAATGTGGTTCAACATGTTTGAGGAAGACAATCAAAGGAGTCCAAGCTGTCGAGACAGACTGAACAACATTACAGAACAGGTGTGTAATTTTACCTCTGTTTGCGTGTGTGTGTGTGTGTGTGTGTGTGTGTTGATACGATATTTTTCATAAATATTTTAACAACATGCTACACTATGACGTTTTTTCATGGATTTTAACGACATGTTATACTTTGATTTTTTTTCACAATTTTGGACAACATGCTACACTATGACGTTTTTTCATGGATTTTAACGACATGTTATACTTTGACTTTTTTCCACAATTTCGGACAATATGCTATGCTACACTGACTTTTTTTCACAATTTTGGACGACATACTATACTGTGACTTCTTTTTCACAATTTTTGACGACATACTATGACTTTATTCACAACTTTTGACAACATGCTATACTGTGACTTTTTCATGATTTTGGACGACATGCTATACTGTGACTTTTTCATGATTTTGGACAACATGCTATACTATGACTTTTTTAAAATTATTTTTGACAACATACTATACTATGACTTTTTTTTCACAATTTTGGACGACATGCTGCACTGTGACTTTTTTTCATGGTTTTTGACGACATGCTATACTATGGCATTTTTTCACGATTTTGACGACATACTATAACTTTTTAGTCACAATTTTGGACGACATGCTATAGTATTACTTCTTTTTTACAATTTTTGACAACATACTATACTGACCTTTTTTCACAGTTTTTGACGACATATTATGCTATGACCATTTTTCATTGTTTTGGACGACATACTATACTATGACATTTTTTCATGATTTTAGACGACATGCTATACTATGACTTTTTCCACTGTTTTTGACATACTATACTACGACTTTTTTTCACTGTTTTTTGACGACATACTATACTATGACTTTTTTTCACAGTTTTTTGTCGTCATACTATACTATGACTTTTTTCACGATTTTGGACGACATACTATACTATGACTTTTTTTCACTTTTTTTTGACGTCATACTATACTATGATTTTTTCACGATTTCTGACGACATGCTATACTATGACTTTTTTTCATGGTTTTTGACGACATGCTATACTATGGCATTTTTTCACGATTTTGACGACATACTATGACTTTTTAGTCACAATTTTGGACGACATGCTATAGTATTACTTCTTTTTTACAATTTTTGACACTATACTGACCTTTTTTCACGGTTTTTGACGACATATTATAGTATGACCATTTTTCATTGTTTTTAACGACATACTATACTATGACATTTTTTCACGATTTTGGACGACATGCTATACTATAACTTTTTTTCATGGTTTTTGACGACATGCTACTATGGCATTTTTTCACGATTTTGACGACATACTATGACTTTATTCACAACTTTTGACAACATGCTATACTGTGACTTTTTCACGATTTTGGACGACATGCTATACTATGACTTTTTTTCACGATTTTGGACGACATGCTATACTATGACTTCTTTTTCACAATTTTTGACGACATACTATACTATGACTTTTTTTCACTGTTTTTGGACGACATACTATGACTTTTTCACAATTTTTGACAACATACTATACCATGACTTTTTTCACTGTTTTTTGACGACATACTATACTATGACTTCTTTTTCACAATTTTTGACGACATGCTACACTATGATGTTTTTTCACAATTTTGGACGACATGCTGCACTATGACTTTTTTTCATGTTTTTTTGACGACATGCTATACTATGGCATTTTTTCACGATTTTGATGACATACTATGACTTTTTAGTCACGATTTTGGACGACATGCTATACTATGACTTTTTTCATGTTTTTGACGACATGCTATACTATGGCATGTTTTCACGATTCTGACGACATACTATGACTTTTTAGTCACAATTTTTGATGACACTATACTATGACTTTTTCACGTTTTTTGACAACATGCTATGCCTTTTTTCATGTTTTTTGACGACATACTATACTATGACTTTTTCACGGTTTTTGACAACATGCTATGCTATGACTTTTTTCATGATATTTAACGACATACTATGCTATGACATTTTTTATGATTATTTTTATGACCTTTTACGCAAAGATGTTTTTGTGTCTCTTTTTATGGCATAAAAAGACATCTGACATTTGTTTAAAGTTTTATGACTTTTTGCTACATATTTTACAACAAAATCTATATAAAACTTTTATGAACATTTGTTTGCATTCTATACTATGACATTTTGTCTGATCTCTGCTCATCCAGAATGCAGAAGTCTGGTCGGTCTTCAAGCTACCCAAGTTCTCCCACACTAACCCACTCCTCCTCACTGGCTTTGGTGGCGACTTGATTCCTATTCTGCTCTACCAAGTCCTGACTTCTCAACGGTAGATTGAACTCCTCACTGACATCAGCACAGCAGAGCTTTACACATCGACCATCCCAGACTGAATAATCATCTGTTTAGGACGCACCTCTGCCCAAAAAATAACATACATATGCGTGTGTGTGTGTGTGTGTATATATATATATATATATATATATATACACGATAACAATTTTTTAAAAAAAAACAACTATCTCTTATTGTGTGTAAATGTAGCACTTAAAGTAGATCAGTATGTTTTATTTAGTTGATGCATTTTCTTGATTCTTGCACTTTTTAAGGTTGTATCCACGTGGTTGAATGCGCTAATTGCAAGTCATCTTGGATAAAAGCATGAGTATACTCTACTAATAAATATTTTATAAAGTTAATTGTTAATTGTGATACTATACTGTACACTCTATACTTGATTATTTAAATGCAAAATGTTTTTGAACATGTACATACTGTACAGGTACTGAACATGGATATACTGTAAAGCAACCTGTCACAAGAATTATTCAATATTTATTGCAGCATATTTGTACCCTACACCACTGCCCTACTCAATTACAAGTTAGTCTTATATGATGTTGTTGTTCATTATGTTTACAGTGTGTATCTTTTTCCACCGACTTATGTGTACCAAATAGTTAATGTTTATGTACTGTTTTTTTTGTTTTGTTTTTTTGTTGTTGTTGTGTTCTATTCCTGGATGTGCACACGTACCTTGCCAATAAAACTGATTCTGAACACCTTCTTCAATATGTTTTTTTGTTGTTGTTTTTTCAGTTTTTTCGACATGTTAGACTATTCTCAACACACTATGATGTTTTTTCTACATACTGTACTAATACTTATTTCGTCAAAAACCATGAAAAAAAGTCATAGTGTAGTATGTCGTCCAAAATCATGAAAAAAAGTCATAGTATAGTATGTCGTCCAAAATCATGAAAAAAAATCTTAGTATAGCATGTCGTCCAAAACCATGAAAAAAACCCATAGTCTAGCATGTAGTCCAAAATCATGAAAAAAAAAACATCGTATAGTATGTCATCAAAAACCATGAAAAAAAGTCATAGTATAGCATGTTGTCTAAAACCATGAAAAAAAGTCATAGTATAGTGTGTCGTTAAAAACCATGAAAAAAAGTCATAGCATGTCGTCCAAAATCATGAAAAAACCCCATCGTATAGTATGTCGTCAAAAACCATGAAAAAAAGTTTTAGTATAGTATGTTGTTCAAAAACCATTAAAAAACGTCATAATAGGTCGTTAAAAACTATGAAAAATGGCCATAGTATATAGCATGTCATAAAAAACCGTGAAAAATGGTCAACGTAGAGTTTGTCGTCAAAAACCATGGAAAAAAAGTCATAGTATAGTATGTCGTCAAAAACCATTAAAAAACGTCATAAAACAGTATGTCTGTTGTAGTTACTATAGGACAGAGTATAGTTATGGCATAGCATGACAGAGTGTAGAACGTTTTGTGTTTCAGTGTGTCTCCTACCTGCTGGGCGCAGGGCTCCTCCAGCAGCACTCCCAAGCTGCGAGGGTTTTTCTGGTAGTAGGAGATCAGCTCTCCCAGCGTAGCAAAGGAGATCTTATCTGAGACAAAGTACGCCCCGATGGAGGAGCGCTGGATCCTGAAATGGTACACCTTCCCTTCACTGCGGGCTGTAAAAGAAAGACGAGATTAATATCATGGTCACATATATGTGTGTTTAAATACACAAACAGTCACATCCTGAATGAACCGACTTATTAATTGAGTTCTTGTACGATGAAATCTGATTATTTCACCATCAAATTCAGAATCCTCTCAGTCTGTCTGCCTATGTGCTGACAGTGGCAGCAGGGAAAACTTATCAGGACAGTTTTGTTAAGCAGATCAGTACAAAGAGCAGACATGCAGAAGGCTAGAAGGCTAGTTTGCATACAGTATAACCCTGGTTTCAAGAGCATTTCAGCGTTCATATTTAAGTGATGACTTTGGAACTCTTCCACATGAAAATATGTGAAACAAAGATTTTTTCACAATGCAACTCAAAGTGCTGTATATAAAACAGTAAGGAAACAGAAAGATAGGATGAAATAAGCAAGTGCATATCCAGGACAACAGTTTACCTGTTGCATATTTACAGGTAATTTGCACTACATTTACAGTTACTCTGCAGGGATTTATACTTTTTTTTTTAAAGCCACCATGTGTAAAATTTAACCAGCTGGGACTTGAACACTTCCAGCATTCACAGTAAAACAGGCTCCACTCAGCCACACCACAAACCTGACCTGATGACACTGAGATAAATGCTCTGAATGCAACACATAGACTGCATCACATGACGAGATAAAAAGTCCTCAAAATGTTTTCAATGTTTTAACAGAGGCTGTAAAAATTCTTCACATTGTTTAGAGTGTCACTTTAGTGTTAGTGTGTGTTGTAGTTCAGATTCACTAAAGACACACAATAAATACAGAAGCTAACTGATCAAGGCAGCGTACACCAGCAGCTCCCGTGTTCAGTGAGGCAAAATTACTGCATTTGTTGTGGAAGTCTGGCTTTAAAGAGAGAGAATGGGTACATTTCTCTTTCAGTTCAGCTTCCTGTCGAACAGAGCTGCCTGTTTGGGAAGTACTTAGCATATGACTAGATAACTGAAACTTGGATTATATTGCACGAGTTTTGTGAGAATTTAGACATGTATGTTGTTAAACATGGACACCAATGACTTCTATTCATCTAGAGTTTCCTCCGTTTTTGGATTCTTTGTTTACCGTGGAGGCATGGGGAGGGGGAAATAATCAATTCTTAGATGACACGATTCACAAATGTCAAAAATTGATCATTTAAATTAGGGATGCACGATAATATCAACATGTCATCGGTATCTGCGGATATTGCCTTTAAAATTAACTTTCAGAATCAGCCAACACGTGTTTTCTTATTTTGTACAATGAATTCAAATAAACACAAGAAGTTTGTGCTCTAGAGAAAAGATCAGCACTCAGTGAATAACCTCCTAATCCCTATGATAAGCTAATATGGCAAGGCTTAACTATACAGACCAGTGAGCAGTGATAATTAACATGTCTTTGGGGTCATCAGGTGGGAACCTCCTTTCACCAGTGTTTCGTCTAGTTGGTCCCACGACACCTCCAGGAGGCTAGACAGTGATCTCTGGAGTCCCAGAGACACTCCCCTAATGCCAGGTCTCACTGCTCCCCGCACCAACCCAATAACCTCCTTTACCTTACTTACACATGGCTTTCTCAGCCCAAACAGCACTGCCACCTTCAACAAACCCAGGCTCCGTACATGCGAGCTCCAGGTATAGACAGTGCTGATACTACCTTTCCTAGCACATTCACCATACTCTATTTCACACACTACATAGCATAACTACAATATAAGCTAAAGTTAAAGGAGACTGAATGAATTTTACATACACTGAACAGTATTCTGTATCATGTCTCCATCTGCTGGTGGGACGTCACAATAAGAGTATGCATGTATAATATGATGTTAATTCCACTACAGAAGAGACTTGATGATCACTAAAATTAGGTGGGGAAAAAAGTGGAAATATAGATATTGGTATCACTCATCAGCCAAATAACTTGTTACATATATATATATATATATATACACACATACACATACACACATACATATATA